CTTTGCTGCAGATGCAGATATGACAGAGTGTGTCCTCACCATCTTGGTCTAGACAACATCTGCTCAAAAGGAGCTCTAGAAAACTGCAGCCGATGGAGGCCCAGCGAAGCTAAATAAACTGTAACTGCAACGCAGAGCTTCCAGCTCTCCCGGGTGACAGGCTATTCTTTCTCCGTCAATTACTTGCTTGAGGGATCTGCTGCTCCTTGTCTCTTTCTGGATTTATAAAATGCTCTCATGAGCTGTCTGCATAAATGCCAGTGGTAAAGAACTTGTGGCTTTGTGATTTGTTTATTCATTTATTTATTTTGGGTTTCTAAAGAAGTTATTCAGGGATGTCTCCTTAGGAACATGATATAGGCTGTCTCTACATGGGCATGACTCAATAGAATCGGAAAATAAACTCAGTTGTTGGAGAGTAGGCATGTCCACAAAGTTATTTTAGCTTCCCTCTTATTCCTTCTCTGGCAGAACAGCCTCCACGCTCTTCTTTTTTCTGGCCATCTCTTCTCCCATGACTCCGTACACGCTGATGCTACAAATGAGGCTGTGTGTGTTTCCTTCTAAACAAATGGATGCTCAGGGTGTCGACGTGTCCTAGCCAGCAAGCAGTGGGGCAATGTTTCTATACTCAGTAATTTACTCTAATGGGTCTCAGTTCATTGGTTAAACAGTATTTCAAGCCTGTCCTTTCTTGCTATTCAATTTAGCTATCTTCCCCTGCATGGAGGTCATTTTTTGTTTCTAAATGTTGGAAATGGAAGATTATGACTTGAAGCCACGATTTAGTCTCCAAATAAATACTACTAATTATCTTTGCAACTATACATACTCGTTACACTTAACTATATTTACCTGTTCAAAACCATTCATTTATCAATCTAACTCCAAACCGTATATTCACACAGAGACCAATATTAGAAATATTTAAATGCAATGGGACAGGATTTAAAACCATAAACACCAGTAGAAGCTTACGATGCTAATCGCGCCCCTGAAGTACCACAAGACAAAGTATCATAAATGCAGTGGAATGACTCCATTGCTTTGTGCATATTTAAAAAGATATGGCACTGAGAGGACCAATCTGTTACAGACAATTCAAAAATAAGCCAGAACTTAGAAGGGTTTAAATCCCATGGGGGCAGGATTTAAAAGCAGCCCCTTCCATCTGGCCAGCTCTCTCGCCTCCAGGCCCCCTGCAGGCCTAGATCCCATGAGAACACCTCCTGGGTGCCAATTTCCAAAGTGGCCCCATGCAATGGCTGACCTGGGCCTTGGCCTGGCTGGCTGTACTCTCAGCCACACGCAGTGTTTCCTGCTCCTCCCTGGAAGAGTCATAACCTTGAAGATAAAGACATCTTCGTAGCAGCCTGCCTATTTTGCCCCCTCCCTGCTTCCTGTAACTGCTTTCCTGTAACCCACACTTTGGCACTAAGCCAGCAGCCTCCACTGATGGATGCTGTAAGAATCAGCTCTGGGAAATGTACTTCTGTGTTGACTGCAGGCACGTTAGGGATATTAGCCACAACAGTACCCAATGTTCTTCTAAGACGACCCATGGAGAAATTTTCCTAGGGTTCAGTGCCAAGGAAAGCTGTGCTTCTTTCTAAAAAGCTTCCTTTCCTCATTCCAGTAATGACTGGAAGCTGCACGACAGGTGCACTTCCCTCTTTGCTGTGAGGAAGCCCAGAGCCATAAAAGGCTCCTCTCTAGTCAGGGTGCAGAGCGCCGTCTGCACTTTATATACTAAGCTCAACTCCGGCTTCACCTTGTTTTCTCTCTTATTATTTTTCCCTTTTAAAAATTTTCTTCACTTCTTATTTCTCTTGATGCCCTAGGCCTTTTTTGGAATAAGGAGGAAGTTTAAATAATGATAAAATCTACTACTTACTGACTTTTCACTCTGTGCTGATATTTTGTGCTAAAGAATGATATAGATGTTACTGAATCCTTGTAATAATTTTATTGGGTGGAAAATAACTGATATGCTTATTCTAGCCTTGTAGACGAGGAAACTGAGACTCTGAGAAGTAAATCTATTTACCCAAGTTTACACTGCAACTGAGCAGCAACGTGAGGCCAACTCCAACTTGGTATTCATCTTTGAAATCTTTCAACCCTCAACACAGTCCTTGGCTCTTTTAAATAAAGAGATATATATTAAGAGAATTGAGGCCATTTCCCTGGCTACCTCACTTGGTACAGAGATCAATCATCACACTCAGTCCAGCCACTTAGCTGCTCAGGACAGACCATAGGCCCTGCAAAGTGATGAAACAGTTACCCTGTGGTCTGCCAAGCCTCTTGATATCTGAAATCCACTTTGTGCTGGTGGTCCAGCTACGAGGAGCATTGAGAGCATCCTGGTTCCCGAGCCAGCATGGTATGTACAGCGCATGCACACCCCTCCCCTACCTTTCCCACTGGGTGGTAAAACAGTTGACCCTGGCAGATTGTCAATCACACGACACACCTAGGTAGCAGGGAAAGGATGGGTAGTATTTGATTTAAGTAGCACAGAGGTCCCTGCCTTCAGATCGGAAACCTGGCAACCCACTTTGTTTGTAATCTGCATGGCAGATGTCTCTTATCTTTGACACCAGGAAATCATGCCTATATGGCACAGCGAACAGCTTTAGATCTGAGTGTATTTTTAGAACAATGAGCCTGGAAAAGAAAAACAGCAATGCCTGTCAAAAGATGGATAATAGGAAAGCTAACTACTTGGGTCTGGATTTGTCAACTATTAATCAAATGTCAAAAGGAAAAATATGAGGAGTGCTCTCATTTCCATGCTGGGTACAATCTGAGGGGGAAACAGCTCTGCAGCCCAAGCTCAAACAAACTGCCCACACCGTTTAAGGGGACGAGCTACTAATTTCAAGCTCAGCTGAACTAAAGGATCACCTCTGCGGCTCCTGACCCGTTCAAATATAATAGGCCCATGTGTGGGTAAAGAGAGGAGTTGGGGCTCTGACGGGGATGAAATGAACCAGCCTGTGCCAGTCTGTGTTCGTCCAGGGCTTGAAGGCACTGGCTGGTTCTTTGATGGGCGAATCCTACTGCTAGAAAGAAAGCAAGGAAGTCAGTCAGTAAATGAACCTTCAAACCTAGTCCTGACTTCTCATGCAAAGGGCAGTAGGGGGAGGCGGCACAATTAACATGAAAAAGATCACATTCTGAGGCGAAAACCTCTGTTCAAATTTCAGTATAGATGAAGCAGGCTTACCACAAGAAATACCATGCCCAAGTGTACATGTGTATGTACAACATATACATAATATATATGTTTGGCATATCTATATATATCCCACATAGGTTTGTGTACACACATCAATATACCTCTGGAACATAAGCAGTGTAGGGCAGAGGGCTCCTCTCTCTTGCTCTCCTCTACTTTCAGTGCCTAGAACAGTGCCTGGCACATAGACGCTCCTCAGTGATCAGCAGAATGAATGAACGCTGAATGGACTCCCTCACCTATGAATGCAACTCATCTGCACAAGGACTCTGGGAGGAAGGTGTTATCACCATCCCCAGGTTATAGAGGAAGGAAATGAGGCACAAGGAAACTAAGTCGTTTGCTCAAGGTCATGGAGCCAGCAAGATCTGAACCGAGGTTTGTCCACCTCCAAGACTGGTGCCCTTTGCCTTCATATACAATGGTCAGGCAGGGGAAGCTGGGAGGGTGCCCTTCCTCCCCCCACCCTGTCCCCAAACACACATCAAGGACTCCAGCATCCAGGACCTGCACATACTACCTGCTGGCACCCTGCATCCCTACCTCCATTCTGGGGTTGGCAGGTGGAGGCAGGCCTGGAGCTGGAGACCAAGTGGCCTAAAAGCATTGTTCCTCCATTGTGAACACCCGTTGGGCATGGACTTCCTCTTTTTAAAACTAGGTATTGCCTCCTTTGTTCCTTTCAGCCTAAGGGTGGAAGATCCACTGGATGATTTAAGATCTCCCTGCAAAAGAGAGGGACTCTCCGAGGCTGCTCAGACATAGGCCCAAGGAGTGTGGTTTTAACGGAGCTGAGTTGAACCAGGCTGAGAGCATGTACTGGCTTCAAGGAAAAACACAGAAATTTGGGGTATGTGCTCTCATCTCAAATTCCTTTCATGTATGGGAAGGAAAGCTCCATTGCCAGAAAGCACAGAACTGTGGAGGCCCACTGCATGCTGGGAGATATCTTGGGGGCCACTTGGGAATTTAAATGAGTTAAGTTTGCCTCTGCCATGGCTGAGCTGGAGGCGTGGCTGACATGACCTGTTATTTTGTGATCCAGTGCTTACCCTCAAGGACACTGCCTTATTTACAGCTTGTGGTAGGCTGAGCCCTCCTCCCACCCCAAATATGATTTTCTCATTTATTATCCATTGAAGTTATTTAACTAGATGGACTTTGGGGAGCTGGTATTTTTCTTGCATAGCCAGTTAACAGTGACACCTGGTGGTAACATACAGCAAGGTTGTACCCTGCCTGTACCCCCACCCCTCCCCTAAGTTGCAAGATTTATGCCCCTCCTCACAAGGCACATTCGCTAGACAAAAGCATTAAACTGGAATGGCATCCCCGTTCTGAGCATTTACAGCCTCAGTTATATCAACCACCCCCTGATCAATTTCCATTTCTAGAGTTTACAGCCTGGATGTAAAAGCCTGCCACGAGGCTATATTTAATATGAGAAATTAAAAAAGCAAACACAGCCTTGGTCATTCTTCTGAATCAGGAAAAGCAAACAGGAGGAAGGAAAAACCCAACTGTATGGACACAGAGAGGAACTTTTCATGGAGCTGCTGAGTTTGCCTCCATACCAACTCGAGGGAGGCTGTCCCTCAGAGGTCTCAACGCCCACCTGCCAGAGGCTGCTCACCCACCAGCCCTCACAGGCGTCCTCACCAGCCCTGTCAGATGGAGGGGCATCTGCCCCGGGTTGGACACTCACCAGCTCTGAGAGCTCTGGCTTTACTGGCTCTTCCAAGTACGGAGCTGAGGCTGGAGTGATTGTAACCCTCTGGCCATAGGCCTTCCTCTTGGGCCCTGGAAACGAACACAACAGCCCTCTCTTCTCCCAGGAGTGGGTGGGGGTGTCACTGACCACTGAGGGGTAACACTGAGGAGCAGGAGTGGAAGCAGGGGGCCAGCGAGGAGGCTTCCACAGTCATTCAGGTAAGAGATGAGGGAGGCCTGGCCTGATCTGGTGGCTTGGAGGTAAAGAGAAGCAGACAGTTTGAAGAGAGATTCTGCAAGTTAGGTAGACAGGCTTTACTTCTGGACTGGATGTGGGGTGTGAAGGAAAGAGGAGAATTAGAGACAAACAGCTGGATGGGTGGTGAGTCCCTCTGCTCACTCAGGGACCTCTTTATCAGTCCTGCATCCCTGCATTTCGGTGCGGATCGGCCCACCCATCTCCCTCTCTGCACTCGGTAAGGAGGCTCACAAAGAGACCAGGCTTCCCATTGTCTCAGGCTTCCTCTCCCATTTAGAGAGCTTATTAATTTCTGAATCAAGATGCCAAATCAGCTCCTCATCAAGGACAACACTGATTTTTTCCCCTGACTTCAAAATAAGTTTGCAGATGATGTGTTTGTGAAGCAATCAACCTTGCACTTCCTCCCCTCCCAGCCCGTCAAGAGGGAGGTCATCTGACTCCACACGGAACAAACAAACGGAATGCGGAATGCGGAGGAGCAAACAAAGGCGCTGCAGTCAAGAGGTCTGGCCGCATGCTCCTCCTCGAGAGGCACCGGGAATGCAACTCAACTCAACTCAGCAAGGTCCCACTCCAGGTTTAATTGCTATCAGCAGCAAAAGAGAAAATTAGAAATGAAAAGATAATGAACTGTGAATATTAGCTTGTTTGATGGGTCTAAACTGGAAGGACGGGTAGGTATGGGGTGGGTGTAGAAAAAGTAGAATGGGACAGGAAATGTGAAAATCAGATCTTTATAATTCTTGGTTGTAACAAACACAAAAGAATTTACTTCAAGATGAGTTCATTATGTTCCTGAATTGTACTTTAAATCACAGCACGATCAGCTTCAGGGACACTGCCCAGGGAAGGACTATTTTCACCCTAAGTTGGTTCTTTGAGGAATAAGAATGTCTGGGGATAAGAAGCTGGTTGGGATGTGTGCCCCTGTGCTCAAGAAACCATGACTGATTCTGGGCCTAGGGGATGTGACAGGAAAGAGACAGAAAGAAAAAAAGGAACTGGGGAAATCAAGAGCAAAAAATTGCAAAGGACAATAAATCAATTCAAAAAGATATTTCCATCACTCACAGAGTGCAAGGTTTATAAGGGAGCAAGTCTGCTTTCCTCATTCCACAGTCAGAGCAGCCTTTCAGTCCTTCAGGAAAGAGATGACTCCTACCCCCCAAGGAAGATCAGGGATGCGTTACCAGAAGCCTAAGAAGGGGGAGGGACTGTTTCTTTGCTCTGGGACGTGGAGTTGCATGGCCCAGAGCAGTACACAATGCCAAGTCGGCCAGGCAAGCTTTTGCTCCAGCAGCAGACGCCCAGGGGATGGCAGTTCCAGGGTGCAGGCTGCTCCCAGCTGGAGGAGAGCTGGGGAAAGGGGGTCAGAACGCCTTCTGCGTCTCAAGCCTGGGAAACGCTGCTGCGCTCAGAGTTTTAGCTTTTGAGAAAAATCCTTTAGGACTCAAGGAACCAACATAGCTTCTTCCGTTAGACGTGCTACAGCCGTTCTCGAATAAGCAAAACTCTTGGAAATTAGAATCACACAATTTCAGAGTCAGTTAAGGAACTATAAGCCATTAGTCCAGTGGTTCTTAACGTTTCTTGGTTCATAGACCCCTATTATAATTAGATGAATGGTGCAGACTCTGTCTGGAAAAAGGCGCGTATGTGTCTGCTTGCACACATCCAACTTTGCATACAATTTGCGAGGGTTCACAGCGCCTGACGCCCAGTTAAGACGCTCTGTGGAGTCAAGGTATGCCAGCTCAGTAACCTGATGCTTTCGCTTTGAGGAGGAGAGAGCTGAGGCCCACAGAGGTGCCAGGTCACTTGGTCACCAGAGGAGTAGGGCCTAGAAGCAGACTGCCACCCAACCAGGAGAGTGCTTTGTTCCCTCCAGCACACTGTCTTTCTGCTTTTTGCCCCTTTGGAATTGTTGCTGACACTGCAGCAGAGGAAAAGGTTACTTGAAAGAGAAATGCGTCTAGTAAAAATACCATCTCTAGAGTTGGCACAGTTAAAGAAATCATCTTAACCTGGCAAGAAGAGAGAGAAGAGAGCAGAGATGCCTCAACTCTGCTCACCATTAGCAAATCATCTATAATTTAGAACAAACGTAAAGAGATGCGGGTGATCAAGCAGACGTACCTCCTGGCAGCCTCTTGTAATTTCACGGGCTGTTTGGCACTGAGGTAAATCAAGCAGGCAGCAGCTACTTTATTCAGGTCACCCTCACCTGCAGGGAGGAAAAACAAAACAAGCATTGGCCCTCAGACTTCATTTGGGACGAGCAGTAACCAAATGCTATCTGAGGAAACTGGAACAGCTAGGCAGGATGCTGTGGGCTCTTTAGTCCACCCAGCAAGTCAAAAAACACATCAAGGTAAACGGACAAATAGGGCCAAAGTAAGACTGAAGGATGCGCACGTGAAGAGACACGAGGGGAGCACGAGTAAGCAGAGTGCAATAGCGAGGGTGAGACAGAAGCACAGTGTGTCTGTCCAGGTGAGACTGGCTAGTACCTACCTAGGTCCAGTTTCTCGCAGAGGGGGCCCAGGCCCTGCAAGACAGCCAGCTGCAACTTGAAGGCCAGCGTATGGGAGTAAACTGGTCCAGCCCTGGCACTGACGGGAGCCTGGGTGACCAAGGAGCCAGCCAGCTTTGGCAGGACATCTTTGCAGAACCGACTCCTTAGAAAATCGCCACACTTGCCTCCCAGGGTACGCAAAACCTGCAGAAACAGCCCCCAACCTGGTGACTGAACATTGCCAAGGCAGCAAGACAGCTAAAGAGTGTTTGGTAATTCAATTTCATCTAGGTCTCTGCTCGAAAAAAATAGAATTACTGCTGTTAATTCCTTGCCTATGGTTTGTGATTCTGACAGTTATGAATTCGGAGGTCTCTGCTCCTAAGGCATGGCTGATTCTATCCATAAATACAGATTACATGGAGAATAATTCAAAGGAATTTTGAGTTGGATGAATAATATGATTAATACCTTGATTTTCCTCCTCTTTTTGTTAAAAAAAAAAGAAGAGCTTAAAGCAGTTCACACAGATCATCTCTTGAATCTTCCTGACATCCTTTGAGAAAAGACTTGTGCTTTTAACTCTAGCTGGCTGAGCAAACACAAACACGAGGCCCCGCTGCTGCCACATGTGGGCACTGGGAGGACAACGGGGGCCGAGGTCCCTTGGCTGAGACAGGGCAGGGCCCCAGAGGTCAGAGGGGAGTCAGAGTTCCTTCGGTTCCACTGCACAATCTCTAATGTGCATCACCCTCATTCCATCTTTCCCAACAGGCGGTTTCTTTGCATGTCTCGTTTTGAACTTTCTCTAGCAGAACATATTGAAACGTTTTGCCCCGCTGCACAAGACTGAGTATCCAGGATAATAGGACTTTCTTTAAAAATTGGTAAGCAAGGCATAACCAACACAGACAGTGTTTGCCGACTTTGCAGAGAATGAGGTGCTTATTTCAGGTCCCTCAGTTGGACTGCACGAGGCGTTGCAGACCGTGGGTGTCGTCAGCATGTCTGGGCATGGAAAAGCAGCCTCGGTTACAGCGCACACATCTTTATATTTTTTCATTTTTTTATGCTTGCTAGCATTTCAGATAACCTATTAATTTTCACAAAGGAAAACAGCACATGTGAATAAGATTTAGCAAGACCTCCCTCCTTCCCTTCCTTACTCCCCACTACACGGTTGCAAGCATGTGTCATTTTGCGTGTTTTGCTTTGGAAAAAAATACTAACAATTTTATGTTTTAAGCGTAAGCTTGCATTTTGGTCCAGTATACGCTGAAGAATCTTACAGAAAACCAAAGTACTTTGCCAAGCACATTAGTTGCATTCCTGGCTTCATTTTACATCCCTACGCATCTTTTTGCTTTGCCTCATCTTGCTCACCTACTTCTAATTTATGTCAGCTTGCCATGGTAAATGTATCTCCGTAGGTTGCCTTAAGTGCTTTTCAGAACAAGGAAAGATATAAATAAATAAGCTAAAATATGTGTGCTAATATAAGCCAAACTAAGTCAGGGAGAAGAATATCTGATATATACAGGGCTTTTAACTTTTCAAAGCATTTCACCAACTAGTCCTGCTTTATCCTTGAAAACAACACCATGAGAAAGGTGGATTAGGTGTTCCTAAGCCCTATCTGAAAATCAGTGCTCATGGGCTTTGCCCAACGTCACCTGACTGGGCAGAGGATGCCCATTCCCAGAACCTTGGCCCCTTCACCTTGACTCTTGTGCAGTGCTAAGAACATGGGCATGAACTCACACATCTAGGTTCTATCACTTACTAGCTGTGTGATCTTGAGAAGATTCTGTAACTCCTCTGAGCTAGTTTCATCCTCTGTCAAAAATGGGGATAACAGTATCTACCTTGCAAGGTTGTTGTAAGCAGACGAGCTCAAATGTGGGGAAGTACCAAGCACACTGCCTGGTCCACAGTAGATGTTCAATAAATAGTGGTGGTCCTTTTCATCTACTAGTTGACCCTGCTTCAAATTCAAGAGGAATCTGACTTTTATTTTCTTCTTTGTGCTTTCTTTATTTTTCTATACTTTCTTCAAGGTATGCACTGCAATCAGATAAAAAGAGAACCAATCCCAAAAGGCAGTGGAGAGCTCTGTGCTTACTACCCTTGCTGCCTATGACGGACGGTGGTGGGCATCAGTGCAGTACCTTGAAGGCTCTGAGTACCGCCAGGGGGTCATCGTTGGTGAGTCGGCGCACGAGTGAGGGCCAGGTCCGATGAGCCAAGGGAAGGAGCTGGTTCTTGTGGGACTGTAGAACTACCACACACAGATCCAGTACATCCAAGACCTGAAAGAAAAGAAGACATGGTTTCAGCAGATAGTCAAGGCTGGAAACCAGATACCTGGGATTAAGTCACCATTTTAAAAGGATAAAATCTGGAAACCTTAACTGAATAAATATTTACTGACTACATGCCAAGCACTTGCTAGGTACTGCAGGGGAGACACAGGAACAAAATAGATATGTTTCCTTGCCTTCATGGGGCTTACAGTCAACTGGAGAAAGACCTTAATTAGGTAACACCCAAATAAAGGGATGATTTACCAACTGTGACTCGTGCTAAGAAGGAAAGTAAAGAGTGAAGTGCAAAGAAACTAAAGGGAGGGATCTAAACCATACAGACCCTTGGGAGAGCTTCTCTGGGGAAGTAACTTCTAAAAGCAGACATAAGGGATGAGTAGGAGTTAGCCATGTAACAAGTGAGTGTTCCCACAACTGGAAAGAGCAATGAGGAAGACCCAGAGGGGGGAGAGCTTGCAGTGTGGAGCGTGACAGAGGAGGGGTAAGATGGTGCTGGACCATGAAGAATTTTTTGTTTTCTACTAAGTGCAGTGGGGAACCATCAAAATGTTTTAAGCAGGAAAGTGTGACGTGATACAATTCATGTTTTAAAAAGGTCATTTCAGCCTGCTGAGTGGAGAAGGGACTGGAAACAGAAGAGAGAAGAAGTGAGGGGCCCTTTAGGAAGTCATGGCACATGTCCACATGAGAGGAGGAAAGAGATGTGGCCACGTGATGGTGGCAGAGGAGTAAAAGGATTTGAGATCTGTAAGTCAAAGGATTTGAGAGCTGTTTTGGACATGAAATGGCTTAAACTGCTGAAGGACTTGATATTAGGGAGATGAAGAGAGGTATCAAAAAGTGCTGCTTGGGTTCAGGCTTAGCAACTGAATTGATGCAGGTGCTATTTAATGAGACAGGAGCAATGGAGGAGGAGTAAATTGAGAGGCTGGATGAGATCAAGCTCTGTTACTTTGAAATGGAGAGGTCATGTAGGCAGCTGAGATACAGGCCAATCTTAGAAGAAACGTGTAGAGCAGCCTAGATGTAAAGTGGATTTTCTACCTTCCCTGAGAATGCGTTTCGTAATTTCTCGTATCTCAAAGCTCTCTGAAAAGTAACAGCCTGCGTCAGTGTCACAGGCAGTGGTCACCACGATGACCTCACAGATGGGCCCACCTTCACTGAGGAGATGAGCGTGCACATCCGAATCAGAAAGACAGTGGGAAGTCCGCTAACACCGAGCAGTAAAACCTTCTCGGATGCCTACTACGTGCTGGTCACACTGAGACCGAACAGAAACAAAGAACACAAGAGGCCCTGCCCTCGAGGGGTGAAGAGTTGGGCAGGGGAGTAACAGGAAGCTCAGGGTAAGTGGAGAGTAGAGCAGTATCATGGAAACGGTTTTGGTATCACTGACTGGCTTTGAATTTGAGTTCGGTCACTAACTGGGCAAGTTACATCCTACTTCATTGACTCAAAGATGCACATTTCCCCTCTGCCTGGAACATTCTTCTCTCTGCCACTGCCCCTTTGCACAGCTGGCTCCTTCTCAGCCTTTAAGTCTCAGCTTAAATGCTGCCACCTCAGAGAGCCCTCCCTGACCACCTGGTCTAAATCAGAATGTGAGCTGTGTCTCATTCAACAGCATCTGGTACAGAGTAGGGTCCTAACCCATGTTTGCTAAATGGGTGAATTTCTATTTTCTATCATAGAACCCGCTTATTACCTTCAGAGCATTTGCTCCTCTTGTGTGTGTTTGTGTATCACCTCTTTCCCCAAAAGAGACAGGAAGTTCTGTGAAGAAAGGGATCACATCTGTTTCATTTCTTTCTAGAACCCTCTGTCTGACCTGTAGCAGTCCTCAACAAGCATTCATGAATGAATGAATGAGGGAGTGTATATGCCATGCCTGATGCTAATTGTTTCATATTTATAATCAACAACCTGGTGAGACAGGTGCCATCACCTCCATTTACAGATGAAGAAGCTGAGGCTTAAAAAGCTGAATTAACTGACTCAAGGTCACAGAGGCAGAGCCAGGATTTGAACTTGGGTATGTAAGTCTGACTCCAGTGTTGATGCTTTCAGTCACTATGGTGCGTATACTGCTGCTACAGAGCCTCCATAAAATGGAAGACCCTCAGCACATGCATCAACCAGACACCTACAGTAAAGCCTTGCATGCAGTGGGCACTCGGAAAGTGCTTGCTGAATGGAACAACAGATGACCGCTAAGAAGTTCCTCTGGGAAAACTAATCAAATTCCGCAAGACAGAGGCCCCGAGATTTGAGATAATCTGTGGATCAGGGTTTCCTAGCCCACCATCCCCTAGCAGGGCACGGAGCTCCCATGAGTAACAGTAATTCACTGAGGCAGTTGTGTCTCTCACTCCCGCTTGGGAGTGGGGAGGACTGGGCCAGGCTGCCTTGTTCTCCTTCTGGTGTAAGATCTTCTCCCAGGTGATTCTGAAAGCCCTGTCCCCAAGCCCACCTGGCCCCACTGTCCTGTTATTGGAGTCACTACTGTAATAGTTTAAGTCCCTGCTGATGGGGATGCTACTTGGAAATCTGCCAGCAAAGAAAGATGCTTACATCTTACTAAGAAAAGTCTTGGTGTTTTTCCTAGGATGAACATGGGAACAGAAACAGAGATAAGGGCTAGCATCAGGCTTGGAAGAATGATCACTTTAAAGTATTTAAACCTGCATCCCAGGTTAAGTCGGCTCAGAAAATGATATCCTTTCCAAAGCATATGACTTTCTTTCCCTTGGAGATTCAGTGAATCTCCAAAACTTGGTGGTTTTTAATTCCACAAAGAGGACTCAGCTCCCTTTTGGTATCTGAGCTGATATGGAAAGATGTAAGACTGTCATCCCACAGATAAATTCCTCTTGATGTCTTCTCTTGGCCACCACACATGGACCAGGAGATAAGAGCAGCTACTTGCTCATGTGTGGAGTCACTGCCAACCAGACCAAACCTTGGCTCTGCTGCTCTGTGGATGCAGGGAAAGGGCCATGCACTGACCTTCAAGCGGATTTTCAGATTTTTATCTGACAACAAGTGGATGCAGCGTTCCATCACATCCGTGGCGATCTGGATGTGCACGGGCAGTGGTGGTTCCCTATCGGGTCGGGTGTCATTCTCTTCCAATTTGGGAGGGTCTGTCTGCTCCTCTGGAAAAAGAGCATAACCGGGGATAGGGTTTTATGAGAGAGGCCCCACTTCAACTTGCTCTCCCACCTTAGACCCAGCAACAGGACTTATGAGGGAGAACGTCTAGGAACTGATCCTAAGGAAGCCACACGAAATTTGGGTCAAGCTATGAGTCAAGATATTCACCACAGGATTAATTGTAACCGCTAAAACCCGGGGGCAAACCCCCCCTGTATCCACTCAGGGGGAGTGGTTCTATAAACCAGGGTACATCCATTCAATGACACATTACAAGGGCCCTAAAATGTCTGTGTACCAAGGGCTTTAATGACAAGAGAAAATGTTCATGAAATAACATTGTGTTAAAAAGAGAAAAGCAGGATACAAAATTGCATACACAGCGTGAGCACTATTATATAAATTTTTGCATGGAAGGAAGTACAAGCAAACATGAAGAGAGATGAGGTCATGAGATAAAATATGAATTCTTTTCCTATACTTTTGCTCTTTTCTAAGTTTCCATTAATGAATATTTAACACAAGAGGACACGTTCTAACTTGGAGTCCTGAGGTTGAGCAGGCTGGCCTTTCCTCTGCCCTTTACCCTCCTTCCATTCTTCTTGGTTCATCCTTTCACTAAAGTGGGTACATGTCTGTCTTCTCTGCCAGCCTGTGAGGTCTTCTGGTGGCCACGATCAAGCCTTACTTCTCTGTGTTTGAGAGAGAATACCAGGACAGCTTGGTGTGATACACAGGGATGGGGTTTGGTCAGAGGTTGGTTCAAGTCTTGCCTCCACAACCTATTAGCAACTCCTCTCACATTCCCTCATCTGAAAAACAGGGGTATAGCATGCATGCCTCATTTGCTTGTTGACTTGAACGAGACGACCGTCACCAGCGATGTCACTCTTTCACTGCCTAGAGGGCTGTGTCGCATGAGAAGGTGCAAGTTTGTAAATTAAAACAACAAAAAGACTTGAGAGTTGGGTGAAACCCAGGCCAAAATCCTTACCCTGAAAAACTTCCGTGGATCTGTTTAGAGCCTCCAGCCCTGATCTACTCCCCCGATACCAGCTGCGCTCCCTTCCCCTGAGCTGAGCACTGCTGCCTTCACTTTTTGCCATTTTAGTTTCCTCTGCCGGAACAACAGAATCTTACAATAGAGGCCACACCTGTTTCTAACAGATGTTAAAAAGATAAATGAAAATGCATTTGTGGAAGGCTTGGATTTCTCAGAGAAAGGGACCTCAGATTGCAAGGTGCTTTTATTGTGGTTAAAACAAAAATGCATGTCGAATCAACATTGAGCCAAACATTCTTTATAATGCCAAGTGTGTGGTTGTACTTGATGAATGATAATTCTAAGAATGATAAGGCTGTGCTTTCTTCCCAGAGGAGGATTTGTTGTTTGAAACTCACCTATTGCAGAATGTTTTTAGAGAGATGTGGATTTTTGGGTTATTGGGAAAAAGATTTGATTCATTCAGTCTGCTCCTAGTGAACATCAACTAGAACCAGAAGATGCTAATCGTGAAAGAATAGATTCATTGGCAATGCTAGAATTTCAAACAAGAATGGCAAATCTGGATTACGAGGGATCAAGATGCCTCCCCTTCTTCAGGGTTTCCAGGTTTGGGCGAGGCCGCAGTTCAGGAAGGGATTGGGTTGGCTCAAGAAACAAAACTGAGAAGAAAAAGCCTGTCAGATTTCTGATCAGAAAACTCTGTCCTTGGGGAGAGCAGTGACTCCACTCTGCGTAAATCATTATTTGGGCCCTGTGATGCTTCCCGGTTACTCAGAAGGAATTTGTTAGTTAGCTGCTCTGAGCTACTATTTCTTGTTATCCTGGAAGTATTGGCTTCACCACAGTCTCAGAGTAGAAATTGCCAAAAATAAAAAAAGGAAATCTGCTCGATTCCAACCTAACAAACTAATTTGGGACTCAGTTCGATTTAGGAGAGTTCTGAGACCACCAAGCTCATTATGACTTGGCATTTTATATTTGCTGAGGAGACTCTAATAATTTATTAATCCTTCCGTGACCTGAAGCTCCAGATTGAGCTTGTGAATAAAACAACAGGCCAGAACTTCAACTAGCCTGAATTCCCTTCTCCTTTATCATATAAATTGGTAAGAAAAACACTGAAATCTCCTCCCACCAATAAATAAATGGACAAAACATATGAATAGACAATGAGCATAAGAAAAAAATTGTTAGGAAAGAAGCATATAGAAAGATGCTTAACCTTGCCAGTAATCAAAGAAATGCAAAGTAAAATAACAAGAACCACTTTAATGTAACAAGAAGTAAAATGGGTAATAGCCAGTGTTGGCAAGGTTGTGGTGAAACCAGTATTAATCCTGTTCTGCTGAAGGGAAGGTGTAAACTGATGCAACCTTTCTGCAAGGCAATTTGGCAAGCATAAAATAATGTTCATATCCTTGACCCAGAATCCCACTTCTTGGATTTATAAAGAAACATGCAAAAAGGAAAAGGTCACATGCACAGAATCATCCACTGCAGCACTGTTTATTAGAGTGAAAAGCCAGGGGCAATCTAAACTTCCCACAGGGGAATGGATACCTAGTGGCAGCTATTAAAACATTAATTATGAAAACTCTATAGCAATATAGAGAGCTCCTTATTCTACAACTAAATACAAAAAGGATATAATGCATTTAAACTGCGGCTGCAACCATATAAATGTAGGTTTGCAACAAAAAAGAATGGGAAAAGATTACCCCAAAAGTGAGAATCCTACGGGGATTGGGGTTATGAGTGACTTTTCATATTTCCAAACTTTTCATAATGACGTTTCATCGTTTTTACAATAATCTGTTTCAAAAAGAAAAAACTGGCTAAGCCAAAATTAATAATAGTTACCTTCTTCATTATCAAAATCTGAGACATTTCCATCTGCCACATCCTTTTCCTTGAGGTAGTTCAGCAAAAACTGTTCAATGTCTTCAGCTGTGGTGGTATTCTCAAGTCCTTCCTCAAGAGTTGCCAGTCTTTGGCTCAAATGACTTCCCTCCTCCCCGACACTTTGCTCTCGGAGTTGCCCGAGATTACCTGTGTCTGGGAACCACCGGGCTGTAAATAAAGTGTTATAATGATTACATTGGTCATTGACAATTAGGCAATATACTTCATAAGTAGAATAAGTCCTTTGCCATGGCTGCACGGCCCTCCCATGATCCAGTCCCTACCTGGGGACTTCACCTTCTAACCACTCTCATTTGCCTGTTAACTGACCATCTTCCAGTTCCTCTAACGCATCAGGTGTTTTCCTGCCTTAGAACTTTCACATATGCTGTTCTCCCTGTCTGGAATACTGCCCCCCACGTCACATCTGGCTAATTCCAAATCACTTTTCATGTCTCAATACAAATATAAGCTGTCTAGCAAGGCCATCCCTTTACTCCTCAATCTAACCTTAGGTCCCTTATATGCTGTCTTACACACCACCATATTCTTTCCTTTTGTACCAACTCATCATGATTTGTAATTATATTATTTTGTGTGTACTGCTTAGTGTCTGAATCTCCCATTAGACCCTATGCCTTATTGATCACCACTGGAAATCCAATATGCCCAGCACAGAGTGGGTGCTCAAAATATATGCTGAATGAATAAATAGACTAGACTGGAGAACATGTACAAGTGACAAAACTCTGAGCACAGGATACACTATTCATTAGAGAAGACAGGGTCTACAGAGCCTTGAGAATGGACACAGTCGCACATATGTATTTCTGCCATAAAATGCTTCAGAAGGCTGGCATTTTCTCTCTGAAGCTTTTCTTCTTCAGTGATGCTCCAATACTTCTGCTGTGTCACCAAAGAATGAGCCTTAAACAACACTGAACAAGTGGTTTCAAATTGTGCCTTGAGGAGCTCTGGGGCTCTGCAGAAACGTCTCAGGGTCACAACACGGAGGGCACCAAGAGACAGCAGGCTAAGGGGCTAGGTCCAAGGTTTCTATCCCTTCTTTAACCAGAGCAGCTCTAATTTCAACTCTTTCTGTATAGTGGAGTTCCCCAAGGGCTTCATTTCAAAAAAGGCTTTTACTAGTTAAAGACTGAAACAACAACAAGAATACCCCACAGCCTGAATTTTCGCTCTCCTTTTGCAGACAGCAGGGAAAAAGTCTGATAACCTTTAGCACCTGCCAATCTCCTTTCTATCAAGGAGCATCCGAACAAAGCCAGAGCAACAGCAGATGAGAGATGCTAGGCAACCAGGAGCAGCAGAGAGCAAATGCTGGAGATGAGAGCCTTCAATCTAGTATCTGGAGGTTCCTCTAAGTAGGGATCGATGATGCCATTTCTTCAAACCCCATCCCCAGACATAAGTCAGGCCCTTCGTGTACTCTAAAGGACTGCATTCCCAATGACTTAAAGGCAGGACCTAGCCATTTACACTGCTAAAAGGAACACGCCACAAAGATTATTTTCTAGATTTAAGGCTAGTGCCAGACATTAAAAAGTCTTTGCTCACAAATGGCTTTTAAACCTGAGAAAGGAAGCTCAACCTCACTCTTAATGCAAATTAAACTACAATAAAGTGCTATTTCTCTCCTATTGGATCAGCAGAGATCAAAAAGCTTGGTAATATACAGTGTGGGTGAGGGCACGGCAAAACTGGCACTCTCTTACATTGCTGACGGGAGCTTAAAGTGGTGCAACCTCTGCAGAGCAATGTGATACTATGAAAAATTTAAATCTACTACCCTCTAAGCTAGCATTTGTCTTAGGAATTTACCCGACTGATCTACTTAGACATGTTCAACATGACCTACAAAGATCTTCATCGTGGCATTTTTTTTGGGGTGGCAGAAAATTGGAAACA